AGTTCAGCCTCGGATCGGCTTGCTCCGACCGGCAAAGCTGTGGGTGGGGTGCGGTGGGGTGGGGTGGGGTGGGGTGGGGTGGGGTAGGGTAGGGTGGGGTGGGGTGGGGTGGGGTGGGGTGGGGGTGGGGGTGGGGGTGGGTGGGGTGGGGTGGGGTGGTGCGGTGGCCAAGCCCACTGGGCGGTGCTGGGCCTTTTCCAGGTGTGGGGACGCAAATGGGTCTCTCTTTTCTTGAGGGTTCCCCCCACGTTTTTTTGTGGTTTTAAAGAAAGCGCAAGGGTTTTTCTTCCACAGGACCCAGCCATCTGTCCTAGGGCCTTTGTGGTGACTGCCTAGCGCAAAAAGGTAGCGATGCGCCGCCCCACCCCACCCCACCCACCCCACCGCACCGTACCAACGGACGCTGACAAAGGGCGCCCAGAAAATCATTTGAAAAGATGGGGGTCTCCACGACTCAGCGGTAGTCACCTTCTTTTTGGGGTAACCCGCAAGTACCAGAGACTCAACTGAAGTCCTTAGACTATGAACTTAAAATCTAATAAGCTTGCAACTCCCAGCTTTGTCATGCATCGAAAATGCGAATTCAAGCCAGCTACTCGCCGGAGGCTTTGTATGCCGAGGCTGGCATCTCGGCTTCCTCCCGCTTCCCCCCGTCCACGAGACTGAAATGCGCGGCTGACCCTCCGGAAAATGGCTGCTGCAAAGCAAGGCTCCCGCTGCCTTCATCATGGAGATCATTCGATCCCACAAGGGGGGTTCACTCAATGTGTGTGTGTGTGTGTGTGTGTGTGTGTGTGTGTGTGTGTGTGTGTGTGTGTGTGTGTGTGTGTGTGTGTGTGTGTGTGTGTGTGTGTGTGTGTGTGTGTGTGTGTGTGTGTGTGTGTGTGTGTGTGTGTGTGTGTGTGTGTGTGTGTGTGTGTGTGTGTGTGTGTGTGTGTGTGTGTGTGTGTGTGTGTGTGTGTGTGTGTGTGTGTGTGTGTGTGTGTGTGTGTGTGTGTGTGTGTGTGTGTGTGTGTGTGTGTGTGTGTGTGTGTGTGTGTGTGTGTGTGTGTGTGTGTGTGTGTGTGTGTGTGTGTGTGTGTGTGTGTGTGTGTGTGTGTGTGTGTGTGTGTGTGTGTGTGTGTGTGTGTGTGTGTGTGTGTGTGTGTGTGTGTGTGTGTGTGTGTGTGTGTGTGTGTGTGTGTGTGTGTGTGTGTGTGTGTGTGTGTGTGTGTGTGTGTGTGTGTGTGTGTGTGTGTGTGTGTGTGTGTGTGTGTGTGTGTGCGTGCGTGCGTGTTTGTTTGTTTGTTTGTTTGTTTGGTCAGTCCTGCAGCAGCTGGTGGTCCAGGCTGAGGTGCTTGAGGAGGGGTGAGGTGGGGTGGGGTGGGGCGGGGGTGCGGTTGTTTTATACCTTGATCTCCATGCAACCGTTTGGCTCAAGTCACGCACAAATTGCACCATTCATGCGATAGCTACAGGAAAGGACTATTGCAGGCCGCTTACAGTGAAACACAGCAATCAAGGCCACCAGGGACTATCCATTCTCTTCCACTCCATGTTGATTACCCCCGGCAGTGGGAGTGGGGTGGGGTGGGGTGGGGTGGGGTGGGGTGGGGTGGGGTGGGGTGGGGTGGGGTGGGGTGGGGTGGGGGGGGTGGGGTGGGGTGGGGTGGGGTGGGGTGGGGTGGGGTGGGGTGGGGTGGGGTGGGGTGGGGTGGGGTGGGGTGGGGTGGGGTGGGGTGGGGTGGGGTGGGGTGGGGTGGGGTGGGGTGGGGTGGGGTGGGGTGGGGTGGGGTGGGGTGGGGTGGGGTGGGGTGGGGTGGGGTGGGGGGGTGGGGTGGGGTGGGGTGGGGTGGGGTGGGGTGGGGTGGGGTGGGGTGGGGTGGGGTGGGGTGGGGTGGGGTGGGGTGGGGTGGGGTGGGGTGGGGCGCGGGGCGGGGCGGGGTGGGGTGGGGTGGGGTGGGGGTTTCATTCAGCGTTCCCAGAGCTAGAACCCACCATGGCCCTTTCAAGACATGGGCGTGGCTCAAAAATAGGAGCCCCAAACTGGGCTACCCTGGCAAATGCAAAAAACAACTGCGGTTGGCAATTTTTCTCGAGCCGCGCCCAAGTCGGCTTCGGGCCCCGGCTTCTCTCCGATTGCGTCCTGTGCCTTGCGCCGCAGCAGCCCTGCGTCCTGAGCGGAAGCTATGTCAGCGAGCCTCAAAATGACAGGGTTCCTGGATCGCCAGTTGCTGCTTTTTTCCATGCACTTTACCCAAAAACCAGCAACAGTGACTGAAAAAGGTGCAACTTGGCAATCTAGGTTCAAACCAAAAGTGGCAGTTTTAGCGGACACCCCCAGTAAATGATTCACTTTGGAAGGGGAAATCCAGTAACACCCGAAGTGCGGCAGGTTGCTGCCTTTGGACATCAGAATTCGGTTTTGATTCATGTACCACTTTTGAGGTGGTTCCCGATTGACAATTATCGCCCAGGGGGCCCTCCAAAACCAACCCAGAACATGTTTGAGGCTGGGAACAGTGTCCAGAACCTTGCAAATTCTTGAATTGGCTACCGAGCTATGTCTTTTTCGGGTTGTTTTGAGGGGAGACCAAAGGGAAACCAATGCCTACTTTTGGGTCATTAAGGTTTAGATAGGCCTTACTACAATTACCTGGTATTAGAATCTCTACGGTTACCAACAAAAAGGTGAATGAGGGCTTTGGGCGCATGGGGTTCAGCGTGGACATGTATGCATTATCGAGCCATGCAACGGCGCCCGATCCGGCTCTAAGTCGATGTGACCGTAGGAACCTATAAACCACAAGACATCCTTGAAGAACTATCCTGCTGAATCGCCCAATTCATCTAACATCGAATAGTTGAGGTGAGACAATCTGGGTTTGTCGCTGAATAACGAATCCCCGAAATGGATAGCCTCTGCTTGGTTTCCAATTTAAACCACCCCCAAAAAGGGTTTACTTTTGCAGAAGTCGCAATAGGTCATCGGTTGCGCGTTGCAAGGGGAGCCACCAGGTCCAAGCCGACGTCGGTCTGTGAAATCCCGAGATTCTGGCTGGGTTGAACCTGAAGTGTATTGGAGCGGGTTTTTTGACTAGAATGTGTATTGCAAGATTCTGCTAGCCCCTAGATTTGGGGTGTGTTGTTTGCACCATCCCTTGCGTATGTCGATTCTAAAGATATTGTCTTCCTCCGGAGACCCTCCTGCTCATCCGCGTCATCCCACGATACCACAGAGAGGTCCTGAGCATGAACCACGAAGTCTGTCAGGAACAGAAGCATGTGGTTTTCAGGGACATCCATCTTTGGGGTCTCCCATTAGACAAACCCGCATCCCAAAGTGAGTCCTGAAAGCGCTGCGAGAGCTGAAAATTTAAGCTGCGAATCCAAGTTTCGAAGATGACAAGAGTAAGTCGTGCATCTTTGTCATGCTAGCCGTGCGTCTTTTCCACCGGAACCAGAAGTTGCTTTTTTCTTTGGGGGGGGGGTCGCCCAAAAGCAATTTCCTTTCAAAATGATGGGCTGTTGGGCTTTCTGATCTGGAGAGCGAGTCAAATCGATCAATGTGCTGGTCTGAACTCTGTGGGTCCGGCAGACATTGACCGCTCCTTCTGATACAGGCGCCATACCTGGCCCAGCCACTGTGAATCATGGTGGGAAACAACCCTTTCATTGACAACACAATAGGATCTCCAACCCATGACTACGTTCTCACTTTAAGGGGGCTTCCTTGGTACAGGAACTTGCCCTAAAAGCCTAGTTCCCACATACTAATCAAGCCAGCAGCGCCGCATTCTCCAAACGCCGAGCATCCATCTCGTCTGTATCAACCTTGAGCATCTCCTGCTTGTGAATCGACAAATTGAAAAGGCTTCAATGGCAAAGCTCATATATCTTTTGCTCAGGTGGTGAGCTACATATATATATATATATACACATAATATTCTCAGCATGCGCAACCCAGTTGTTCAGTGGCTTAAAGGGAAGCCTTTCGAGGCTGGCTTTGAGCGAAGCCATCAAACAAAAAGGGGAAACGAGGGTGACACTGAGCACCTGAGCCAACAAAGCTACTCTTCACAACCCTTGGAATGGGCAAGCGTTGTTTCTTTTTCTGCAGCCCCTAACAATGCACAGAACCACAAAAAGAAACACCAAAAGACCACCAAAAGACCGCCAAAAGACCAAAACACTTGCCAGGAACAGGGACGTACTGCCACTCCTGGTTCTTCCTTCTAGGTCCACCGAATGGCTCACAGCACGCCATCACCACCTCGGCAGTTCTAAACACGGGGGGTCTGTGTGATTGCAAGCCCTTCATGTTGCCGCCAGATTAATCCACCCCAGCTTAATAGGGGGGGTCCAATTCTGGGTGAAATGTTGTTGAATTATCACTTTTGGAGGGAAACACCCCTACTTGTAAACTGGGGTTGGCCAGTGTGGGGTCAACACTAGCATGAACAGAAGGGTTTCTGGCGCTCACCTGTCTTGAATCATCCCAAGGTCCGAGCCAACGGCTGGCTCCCAAGGATCTCTCACCCTGGTCTTCAGGGAAACTGAAAGGACTCCACTCACTTCTGGGGGTCCAAATCACATTTTTCATACACACATGCGGGTTTGAGTTGGAAATGGAGTGAACAGCATGTCCATGGCAGAACTTCATGTCTCATTTTGGAGAAGTCGACATCCCAACTTCGAATCACCCAATCGACGCTTCGGGTCGAGGCGCAATTTCTGGTAGTCTGACAGCTGGATCTTTGAGCCGCTGCGGAGACCCAGGGAGCTCACCCAAGCTTTCGACGTCTTTTTTTCATACTGGATCTACATATCAGTCCGTTCCAAGCCATGGACCTCTGAAAAACCAAATCATCACCTCCATTCCGTCTTGCCAGATCTGTTGGACCTCTGAAAACCCGGACCTGGCCCAGGGGCCCCCAGTCTTACCGCAATTTCTCAGCCCGGATGCGGCGCGGCCGTCCGACCTTCCGACCCTCCGACTCCAGCCGTCGAGAATTTGGCGCCTTGAGGGCCAGCTCGCCGGCCTCCTTGCGGCTCTTCCCGGCTTTCAGGGCCTGCGCTCGAACTCGCCGGGTGCTTTGGAGGCAAAGAGCTATGGATTTCTACATGGGCCGTGGTGGTCAAAGCCAATGGGATGGAGCCCGTTTTGGTGGGTAGGTGAATTCACCCATTTTAGAACCTATCTTAGTAGGGATTGGGATGTTCACTGGGGGTACGGGCTAAACCCTGTACCCCTGGTGAACATCAAAATAGGTGGTAAATGGATGTTCACCCACCCCAAAATGGAGCCCTAGGCTATGCCCCATGGCCAAATAGGTATGGATTTATCTGTGATTGTTATGGGGTGCTTCTTTCAGGGTCTGGAAAACTTGGAACAACACATACAGGCCCTTTTGGCTTCATCCAGGGGAGATCAAACATCATGTTCCATTTAATTTGAAGCAAGGATTGCGTGGAAACATGGCTTTTCCCGTTCTGAAACAAGATGTTGCAATCGGAACCAATTCCTCGGTTTCAGTGTGGGGTTTGCTCAAAAATATTGAGCCCCGGAAAAGGTGGTTCTGAGCGAGAAGCCCGAAAAACCGACAGATCCACGAGTATGCCTCTTCCAAATCTGGATCTGAAGTACCAGAAAACCATCCACTGTGCCAATCCAAAAGCACCCAATGCATCAGTACCCTCTTGAGATCAACATATCCCAAGGGCTCAGTATTTCGAAACATACCGCATGGATGTGCAGTCGGCGCGCCGACCGGTCGGCGCACACACTCTGTTTTGGCCATGCTGCTGGCAAGTCACGCCAGTCACACTAGCCTTGGCCTGGGCTCGTGGGGATGACCGAGTCTGTCTCTTGTTTGGAAGCTCATCAAACCGCGTAGAATCCTTGCAGTGGTATCTGCTTGATGGCAACACGCCAACGCTGTCTTTGTACAAAAACATGACACCGGATGAAATGACTCTCTCCCTGCTCTCCCGGCCTGTTTCATGCGAACAGCACCTTGAAAGCATGCATTCGTGTCGTGGATCACGGTCACGGATTTGTCGCTTCAGACACCTCTGGCTCCAGCTTGTCAACCTGCGGCTTTGCGGAAGCTCCCCCGCAACCTGGAGTTTGTTTGGCACGGGCCTTGGCTGCAGTCTTTGCAAGCTTGAATTGGTCCATGATCGACCTCACCAGCCGAGCTACAAGTACCAGTCGCCGGCACAGATTGGGGAGGTATCTTGTCAAGTTGTGAGTCAATGGTCCAACGATACAGCAACCCACATACAAAGGCATACTTTACAGCATACTTTACGGGACCCTGGTTTGGATGCTCAAACGAAAACCAACGGTCTTGAAGGCCCCCCATTCTTGGAAACACCTACTTGCTGCATTTCGGAATCGCGACCCAATGACTGGCTTCACGTGCTACACATGCGGAAAGGGGAGATTAGGCAGTCCGCCTTTCGGTCGGCAAGGTGGGAAGCCACTTACAAATCAGAACTGAGCACTCTCCCCATGTCCTCCTCCCAAAATAACCATATGGACTCTAAACAAACAGCTCATGTTGGTATGTGTCAAAATCCGCCGACCCCTTTGCCAAAGCCATGCCATGCTTATAAAGGGGTGACAGCATCATCAGCAGCCCAGAAAAATATGTGTCCCGTTTGCTAAACACAAATGTCGCACACGTTATGCTAAAAATTGGTCTGTCGCTCTAACTCTAACCTCCAGATCAAACTCGCTCAAGAAGTGCCGGCCAGCACTTCAAAATTATGCAAGCCCCAGCACGTTGCACGCTTGAATGAGCTGCGTGAAGAACGTCTTACGTGGAAAGAAGGGAAACAAAAGACTGACAAGCGTCTTCAGTCACCTTACCCCTTGGTGGTTTGGTTTCGATGTTTGGGGATACCTTCCCTATTTGGCTTCAAAAAAAATGGGGGGATTCAAATCCAAACACCTGACCCTCTCATCAACTAACCTGGAACCTGACAGGTTCCTGGCTCACCATGTTCCTCGAGTTTGCCCCTGGGTGCCACGTTAGTAGGTTGCAACCAATACATCAGCCACCCAGTCTACATTCCGCGTTTGGTGGACCGTCCCAACCCCATGTGCACAATCAAAACCCGGTACTGAAGTGGTCTACCCAACAAACGTTAGAAGGACATCTTTCCGCAGCTACCCCCCAAAATGAGTGGCGTCCGTGGGACTTCCCTTTTCTGACAAAGGGAAGTCCCATCTCGGTTTGATTGCGGCTCATGAATCAAGGAACTGGGCGTGCATGTTTTGAGGCGAAGGGGACCTTTTTGGGGGTTGTTTGTTTAGCTGTTTCAAGGGAAATCAAGGGAAACACACACTTCGGATTGTTTCGGAGGACCCTACTAGGGAGAGGGACCCCCCCAAAAATAGATCATGTCCTTACTGAAAAAGGAAGCAGCCCTAACTAGTGCAGTCCCGGATCAATCTGAAGTTAAGAGTAAAACTAGAAGAATCAAAAGAAAGTGTCCAGGAAGTCCCCCCAATTCATATCCACCTTGTACCTCCCATGACTACTTTATCACTTTGACGAGGATTCCCTTATCACAGGACACTAGCATTTCAAAGTGGTCGGTGGTGGTTCAAGTCACGGTCATATTGAGACCTGACAAGCGACCGGCGGACCTGAAATCCCACATGATGTCCACCAACCCCCAGTTGTTCGTTTTTTGCATACCCATTTGGTGGTGTCCCGAAAGCACATTCCACGAATCCCCAGTCCAAGATCAAACATCCACGAGACAACAGCATGTGGGCGCCCGGCTTTCCATAAAGCGGCGCCGAGCCCAGCAGGGACGGCAACGGCGTGGAGCCCAGCAACGTTGGCAGCGGTCGAATTGTGTCAGTATCTGCCTGACGAGTCAAATCGAATCGAAGTCGTCCAAATGGATGTGGCCATGGGTCAAAATCCCGGTTATCCCCCAGTGAACATCCCAATCCCCACTAAAAAAGGTTCTAAAATGGGTGGTGCACCTACACCAGAATGGGATCCTATTGGTTTTGACCCACAGCCATGTCTCTGCGTGGCTGTGCGCCGTGTAAGTGCGCCAAAAATCGGGATTTGGACCCTGTCAAAGTAGCGCATTCAACATGAGGGTTTCCCGGAAGAACCACCCCCACACCCAAAAAGGGAACCCTCAAACCACACAAACGCGCAGAAATGGAGTCAGCGAAACTGTGGAGTTGGGTAAAAGTAGATGGCACTATTCCCCCATGTTGATTTCACCGTCCCGCTTGGTTGGTATTTAACCGGAAATCAAGTGCAACATGCTTTGCGTAAACAGGTCACTGCAGGACCCCTATTTTGAGAAACATCCAAGTGGAGTCAGCAAAATGCGGCGCGATAAGGAAGGCGTCCAAACGGAGTCAGCAAACATGTGGTAAAAAGGGGTCAACTTCTTTTGGCACACAAAGAAGGGAACCCTGGAGTAATGATCCTCGCGGAACACTGGTTCCCCTAAACATGAAGGATCCCTGCAATAAGTGTCGAACCAGCTGCAAGCTCTTGGTGATCATTCCCTGGTGGGGGTACGTGAAACAAAAGAGAGGGGGAGACAATTCGAGCCGGCCTGCTCGTCATCGACGGTGCTGTTGTCCCCGTCACTGAGACGAGCCTGACTCATTGACCAAAATTCACTAGGTACAAACACAAGGAACCCTTGCAAATTGGTTCGTGTGTTGTCGAGGGTACCCTGTGATCAGGTTGGTTCGGAGGGAAACCACAAGAAAACCACTCATTTTTGCCGGGAGGGTCCAATCCCTATTTCGACATGTACCCTAATGTGTGTTTTTGGGATTCCAAGAATAAACCCAAGGAGTATCCTCTGGTGGGGAATTGCCGACAAGCAGGCGCAACCTGGATTGACAAGGGAGCATCCCAAATCCTAACTCCTAGCTGGACACAGCAAGGGAAACTAACCACCCGGCACAAGGACTAAGGATTGGTGAAGGGACAACCCAGTTGAAGGAATGGCTTTGAACCATGGAAACCAGCACCAAATGGGAACCCCAAACCCATCCTACTCATTTCTTCTAGGGGTGTTACTCACCAGAATGATCCGGATTCTGACTACAGGGGAACCCCCCCAAAACTATATCACTTCCGGGGTTAACCCATTGGCTGTGGGAAGGAAGGGCGGGGTTGTTTTTCTTGTTGTTGTCGTGCTTGCTTTTTTGGTGTTTGCTTCTTCTTCTGCTTCTTCTTCTTCTTCTTCTTCTTGTTCTGTTTCTTCTTCTTCTTGTTCTGTTTCTTCTCCTTCTTGTGTTTCTTTTCTTGGGGGGGGGGGAGAGTTGCTTTTCAAAAGGACACCGCACACCCCAAAAAACGGCTGAACAAAGCAAGCAACCCACAGCAGGCCTAGAACCCAGCTGGGTGTGTCTCAAAACTGAGGAGCCACCAGAAAACCCGCAGGTGTGAGTCCTTGTTTCCATGTTGCTTGGCTGGAATTAGGACTCCAGCAAAAAAAGGAAGACTTTTGCCTGGTTAGTGGAAAACAAAGGGAAGGCCAAAAAAGCAAACAAATAGAAAGGGCAACTAATTCTGGGGAAGATTGGGTACATAGCTTTGACCCGCAGCCTTAGAGCTCGGAGCACCTTTTTACCCGCGCCTTCTCATCCAGGTCGTCCAATTCAGCTTCCGAGGAGGAGGGACTGACCATCGCCTCACGCGACGACGCGACGCGCAGAACGTCCCGATTTCTTCTGCTTTTTGAGGGTATCGTTGCTTTTTTGTGTAAGGGAGATTAAGGAAAAGGGAGTGTATTTTTTGAGGGTACCTTTTCTCGTTAAGGAAAAGGAAGGGAAGCTTTTCTTGTTCAAATTTGGGTGGGGAGCAAAAGGAATTTGTTTTGGGGGGGTTCCTTTTTTGGGAGACATGTACCAAACCCGTGCGCGTGCTCATCCACACTCGAATCCATGCCAGGCTGCCGGTGACGGCGGAAATTGTTGCGGCAGTCCTGGCAACCTTAGGAGCGAACAGCGAGGGGCCTATGGGCTCCAACGCCATGTTTGCCCCAAGCTCACTTTACATTCAGGCTG